GACTGCTCTTTAGAAGGCCAGATCCTGAAGTTGAAACTCAAGTCCTTTGGCCACCTAAGGAGAAGGAAGGACTCACTGGAGAAGAGCCTGATGCTGGGAAAGATGGAGGGCAAGAGAAGAAGGGGACGACAGAGAATGAAGTGGCTGGATGGAGTCACTGAAGCAGGAGGCGTGAGCTTCAATGGTCTCCAGAAGATGGTAGAAGACAGGAAGGCCTGGAGGAACGTTGTCCATGGGGTCGCGATGGGTCGGACACAACTTCGCAATTAACAACAACAACAAACCAAAAGAAGCTTCACTCCTTGCATTTTCCTTCTCTGGGGGAATCTCGCACTTTGGCGGGGGAGGGGGGCAGAGTTTACCTCTCCATAAGGCAGTGTTTCTCAACTCTGGCAACTTTAGCACGAGTGGACTTCAACTCCCAGAATTCCACAACCGGCATTCCCTGGGGGAATTCTGGGCGTTGAAGTCCACAACGTCTTAAAGTTGCCAAGATGCTGCTGTACGGGCATGCAATTGTTCAGTTTATGCCAGAGGCATCCCCAGGGAGGGGTCACAAGCATCAGACTGGTGGCGATGACTGTGTGGCCAAAACCTTTCTCCTGGCATCAGCCCCCACTCCCACTTTCGTGTCCACTAGCCGGATGGACCCGTGACCCGGTCCGTGGAGAGGAGTGGATCCTTACCTACAACTTTTGGCAACTTCTGACGGCGAAGGGGGATGCGAGGCAACTTCAAGCTGATTTGACTGAACTGTCCGCAAAGGCGCCTTGAGGATTTTTTACGAGCCAAGTCCTGGCGGATGCTGTGAAGGAAACGGGACAAGCAGGTGAGACCACGGTCAAAAGTGGCTGCGTGGATAGCAATAGCACTTATATACCGCTGCATAGTGGTTTGCAGTCTGGAAGGGACCTCGGAGGTCTTGTAGTCCAACCCAACGCAGACAAATGGTCATCCAGACTTCTCTTAAAACCCTCCAGCGATGGGGCACCCACAGCTCCGGGAGGCAGCCTCTCCCCCTGATTACAGGTAATCCTCGACTCCGTTTAGTGGCCGTTCAAAGTTACAGCATCATTGAAAAAGCGAGTTATGACCCGTTTTTCACGCTGACGATCGTTGCAGCATCCCCGGGGTCACGTCATGTCCAAATTCTGGCACTTGGCAAACTGACTCATATTTGTGACGGTCGCAGCGTCCTGGGGGATCCTGCGATCCCCTTTTCGCGACCTTCTGACAAGCAAAGTCAACGGGGGAAGCCGGATTCACTTAACAACCGGGCTACCAACTTCACAACTGCAGAGATTCACTCACAATGGCGGCCAGAAATTGTGCCGAGCTCACTTAACCAACTATTTTGCTTAGCAGCAGAGATGTGGGGTGTCCACTGCCGTCGTAAGACGAGGACTCCCTATAATTGTTCTTGGGAATTTGGGCAGCCAAGGAAAGCTGTCCAGATGGAAGTGGCTCCGGGCCCGTCCTTCCTCCCCCGTCCCGACACCCCTTCCCGCCCGGGCTATCTTCCGGAAAGCCGGTTCCCCGCAGCTTCCCTCCTCCCAGTCCCCCCTCCCCACAGAGGCTCCCCCCCCTCTGGGTACTCACTCCCGGGCCCGATCCTTTTTGCGGCAAATGCAGCAGCAGGACAACAGGGAGAGGAGGAGGCAGAGCAGGAAGATCAGAAGGACTCCGGCGCCAATCACTCCCATCCGCTGATTGGCCTCTGGGGAAAAGAGGCTGGCAAGAGTCAGTGGGCAGAGCAAGCAGCCGTGGGCCACAAGCCGGCTGCCCTGGCAAGGTGGGACGTATGTGTGTGTGTGTGTGTGTGTGTTGCAGACGGGGTTGAAAAAAGGCAAGGGGGTGGCTGTGGCAATGCGAGGGGGCTGTTGGGGGCCTCCCTTGCACCTCCCCCACCCAGCTGGGGCAAGAAGGTCTGGGGAGGGGGGGGAAGATTGGCCAAGGACTTACCCATGTGGCACATGCCGGTGAAGGGGTTGCAGGAGTCCTCGTGGCAGTCGCATAGCTGAGCGCAGTTTGCACCATAATGGCCAGCTGGGCAGGTGAGGTTGCAGCTGGTGAAGGAAAGGGGAGGCCGAAGAGGTTGGTTCCCGTCCTCGGAGAGCGGATTGTGATTGCTGCTCACCACAACCTCCGATTTAAGTTACTCTAGAGAAGCCCCACTGGAAAGCGCAGTGGGATAATGCCACATTTTAACGTTTGCCTGACCGACGGCAGGGTCTCCCAACACGGTGCCCAGGAGTTACAACGACGCAACTTGCGGGCATCTCGGTAGGTGCCCCAATAGAAATAATACGCATTTCTCTGCCTCTTCAAATAAAATCTTCTCACTACTTCGGGCAGTGGGGGCAACTCGCCCAACGACTCCATGGGTTCCCCATTACACACTGACTCATATCCTGCTCTACCCCCTTTTAGCCCAGCCTTGCAATTTAGAATAGAAGAGAGCTGGAAGGGACCTTGGAGGTCTTCTAGTCCAGCCTCCTGCTCAAGCAGTGATGGCGAACCTTTTAGAGACCGAGTGCCCAAACTGCAACCCAAAACCCACTTATGTATCATTGGGTGCCGGGTGGGGGTGGCCCATTGGGTGAGCGTGGCTACGGTGGTAATGGCAGACTAGGTGGGACTAAAAAGTTCAATCAATCAATTCCAACTTCGCAAGATCTTTTTTTTTCCCTGCGAGAAATTGATTGAGTGATTGAACCTTTTTTTTTTGCACACGGCGGCGGAGGCCTAAAGCGAAAAGGTTTTATAAAACCCAGCTGAAGGCCTAGGACTGGGGCGACGGCACGCGTGCCCACAGAGAGGGCTCTGAGTGCCACCTGTGGCACGCGTGGCATAGGTTCGCCACCACGGACCTATACCATCTCAGACAGGTGATTGTCCAGTCTCTTTTTAAAAACCTCCAGCAATGGAGCGCCGACGATTTTGCGGGGTGAGTTGTTCCACTGGTTGATTGTCCTCACTGTCAGGAAACCCATTTGTGAAACCCAAAGTCTCCACACACCATAGGATTCGGTCTGGAGAGCTGCTTCTTTGCCATTTTTTAAGAAGAGACTGGACAGCCATTTGTCTGAGATGGTATAGGGTTTCCTGCCTGAGCAGGGGGTTGGACTAGGTGACCTCCAAGGTGCCTTCCAACTTTACTATATTTATTATTATTATTATTATTATTATTATTATTATTATTATTATTATTATTATTATTATTATTATTATTATTATTATGCCCCAAAGGGACCAGGGTCCTGGATCAGGAGAAGGAGGCACATCCTGGCTGGAGACCTTGAGCCCAGCTCCCCCCTTGACCTGCTCCTATGAAGGCAGCTACCGGTCAGTGGGCAAAGGCAGGAAAAGCCCTCAGCCATTCTCTGCATCCACTTTTGGGTGACCTGCAGAGCCTCGGCCCGAGTGTGGGACTCTCCTGAGCGTGGCTCCCTCTTGGCCACAGGGCTTCATGGCCCGCACACCAGACCTAGAACATCATTGTGGTGATGTTCTAAGCAGGAAGAAGAGAGAGGAGGGCGCCAAAAGAGGGACTGAGTAGTGGCCCGAGGAGAACAAAGAACATAGAATCTTAACAGCTGGAAGGGACCTTGGAGGTCTTCTAGTCCAACCCCTGCTCAAGCAGGAGAACCTCTACCATTCCAGACAAGTGGCTCTCCAGTTTCTTCTTGAAACCCTCCAGTGATGGAGCACCCACAACTTCTAGGGGTATTCCCTAGGGCAGAAGTCCCCAATGCCCGGTCCGTGACCCAAACCCCCGGTCCGTGGACCGGCACCAGGCCATAGCCTGCCAGCAACTGGGCCGCATAAACAAGCAAAGCCCCATCTGTGAGATGCAGGCAGCGTACAAAACCACGCACTCTCCGGTCTGTGGAAAAACCTCTCCCCACAGAACTGGGTCTTGGTACTTAAAAGGTTGGGACCCTCTGCCCTAGGGGTATTCCCAGTTCGATTACTTTTGAATGATATCAATAATTAGGTAAGTTGTATGGTATAATTACTGGTATTTTTCATAGGAAAAAAAGATGTAACTTCTAATTCTCTAGCTGCCCAGATTTACTTGCAAGCGAGATAAATAAATGTTGGGAAGCTGCAAAGTGGATTCTGCACTCTTTATTGTGGCCAGCCCAGCTGCTGTCTACGAGGCACCTCGCCCACCTACTTCTTTGCCTTAGAGCAGTGGTGGCGAACCTATGGCACGGGTGCCAGAGGCGGCACTCGGAGCCCTCTCTGTGGGCACACGTGCCGTTGCCCCAGCCTCGCCTCCCCCTGCGACCCCCTCCTCACCAGCAGCCCCCCTGGAGGAGAGTTGCCCCCGAGCGTGGCCCACGTGGAGCAGCACAGCCAAGGACATGGCAGCCAGGCAGCGTAGACAAGACTCTGCCCTCACGTCCCATCGTGCACAGTTGATGCTGCGGGGCGCGGGCAGAGGGCATGGCTGCCATGGCGCTGCTAGGCTGCCTGGGCGATCTACGACGGGCCCTGGAGGCGGTGAGTGGCCTTGCGGGGGCGGGGCCAATTTTTGGGCACTCGGTCTCTAAAAGGTTCGCCATCACTGCCTTAGAGGGAATGTCGGTCTTGGCATCCCAAGATTTTATCTTTATTTTTATTGTTGTGAGTTTTTATACCCTTGCTTTTACGGCTGTTTTATGGGTTTGCAAACCAATTAGAGTTATTTTATGATGGGTAGCTAAATACACATAAAGATTGCCTGGCTAAAATTTGCTGCTACACGTTTTCACATTTTTGTTTTTAAATAAGCACCAGAATAGATCTGTGAAACCCCGGAAGGTTTATCATATCCGTGTTTCCCCCAACCAAAAACGAAGCAGAGCCAACATTTGGGCCCCTGCCCGTTCAGTGCCTCTGCTGTACCACCACAGCTTCCCCATTGGGGGTCCTCAGAGGCTGGAAAAAATGAGGCAGCCCCCAACCACAAAACTGGCTGGCTCCATGCCAAGCCCTGAGCAAACAAATCCTTGGAACATGACTGCCCAAAAAAAAAAGAAAGAGAAAAGAAAATATCCATCTGGCAGCTGCAACAGCATCATTTTTAATGTATGTTGAAAAGGGGAGGGGGCTTCAGCCATAGCCGTGGCTTTCTTCTTGGTTTTTATGGACATACCTGGCCCTTAGCTCTTTTTTTTAAAAAAAAATATTTTATTAGATTTTATAACGGTGGGGAAGCGGTAAGATCGGTAAGGGGTTAGGGAGTGGGGTTGGGATAGGGGTAGAGAAAGATACAGTAGTGGGGTTACCCCCAACAGTAATTCATCGCTTTAGCAAGCAGACTGTCATCCGGGTACAAATGTTAAATAGTAGTAATTAAAATAATACTAAAAAGTTATAATCACAAAAAATAACCGTAATCATAAAGGTAAAAGTTAGTCAATAAGTATCGTTTATCCTACTAAATAACAATAGTTAATGTAATACTGAATAATTATAATCACTAATAATAACAATAGTCATAAAACTAGAGCTTAGTCAGTAAATATCATTCATCTTGTTAGCTTTACAATATTAAATAACCCTAGTTAGTATAATACTAAGCAATTAGAGTCACCAAGAATGACAATAATCATAAAAAAAAGAAAAGTTAATCGGTAAGTATCATTCATCTTAAGCAGCAATAAATAATCATAATTGCTAATAATAACAATAATCATAAAAGTAAAGTCTAGTCACTAAATATCCTTCATCCTATTAAGTTTCACAATCCATTCTCATTCTATCGTGCTGCTAACCATTGATAAAAAATTTTCCCATGTTTTAAAGTAAACTGAGTCTTCTTTCTCTTTAATCTCTAAAGTTAGTCTGTCCATTTCTGCACATTCTAAGATTTTCATAATTATAATCTGGTCTGGTGGTCTTTTTAATGGCCACTAAAGTCTCCCTCCAAATTGTGGGTCTAGCAAGTGGTTCTGCACAGGTTTGCGTTGAGTCTAGTGGGTGGGCCAAATGCAGGATGCAGCCACGCCTGCCTGGGTTTATCTAACTTCCCCAGAGCCTTTGGGCAATCCTGGAGGGCTTGGAGAAGCGGAAGGAGCCAAAGATACCCCATTCATTTTAAAATGTCCTTTAAATCCCACGGGAGGGAGCTCCTAGGACCCAGCCCTCTGGCTTAGCCGGGCTTCCGACCCATAAATAAGTAGTCCCCGACTTAACAGCCATTCTTAAAAGTGGGATGATTTCCCCCATTTGGGTTCTTTTTGGTCACCATACTACAGAAAAGATGTTGAGACCTTGGGAAAAAAAAGTTCAGAGAAGAGCAACTAAGATGATCAAAGGCCTGGAGACCAAAACGTACGAAGAACAGCTGCAAGGACTTGGGTTTGGCCAGTCTAAAGAAAAGAAGAAATAGGGGAGACAGGATAGCAGTGTTCCAGTATTTGAGGGGCTGCCACCAAGAAGAGGGGATCACGTTATTCTCCAAAGCACCAGAGGGCAGGACAAGAAACAATGGTTGGAAACTGATCAAAGAGAGAAGCAACCTGGAATTAAAGAGAAACTTCCTGACAGTGAGGACAATTAATCAGTGGAACAGCTTGCCTCCAGAAATCGTGGGCATCACTGGAGGCTTTAAAGAAGAGACTAGACAGTCACTTATCTGAAATGGTATGGGTTCTCCTGCTTGACTAGGCGCTGCTTTACTAGGGGCTGGACTAGAAGACCTCCAAGGTTCTATTCTATTCTATTCTATTCTATTCTATTCTATTCTATTCTATTCTATTCTATTCTATTCTACAGTATATAAAGATTCTATTCTATTCTATTCTATTCTATTCTATTCTATTCTATTCTATTCTATTCTATTCTATTCTACAGTATATAAAGATTCTATTCTATTCTATTCTATTCTATTCTATTCTATTCTTCCTGTTTCCATTCCATTCCATTCCATTCCACTCCACTCCACTCCACTCCACTCCATTCCATTCCATTCTATTCTATTCTATTCTATTCTATTCTATTCTATTCTTCCTGTTTCCATTCCACTCCACTCCACTCCACTCCACTCCACTCTACTCTACTCTACTCTATTCTA